ACCCCCCCCGCCCCCCCCCCCCCCGTCCGCCCCCGTCATCGTACCGCGTCGCGCCGTCCGCCAGTAATCTTACCGCGGATCGTAAAGTACGCTTGGTCCTATGGTCAAGTGCGAAAATTGCAACGAAAGCATCGAGACGCGCCTTCATCGGGGTTCGCTTTCTCGGCATTTCAAGTCAAAGGGCCGACCGGGTGCAGAAAAGATGGAACGCGTCGCGCGCTCGCCAGAGTTTTAGGAGAACGCTCGAATTTACGAGTCGGTCGCTCGCGTTAGCGCGAGATTAATGACCCCGGACGGGCGCAGCTGCCGCGGATGGAAGAAGCGCAGCAAAACCTGAAAAACCCACCCCATGAATTCCGAGATGCCTCGGGATCCGCCGTTTTAAAACGAGGCTGCTCGCTTCATCCCCGCCCCCCTCTTCCCCTCCCACGATACCTTCGCATTATCGATGGTAAACAGCGTCGACTGTTTGTCACCGTCGCGTCGCCGTTTCGTCCGCGACGATGACGACGACTTTACGTTGCGATTTCGAACGGGCGAGCGTCGGAGGGGAAGCCGTGTATGCGATGCGCGCCCGTTCGTACCCGTGGTGGGGGCATCGCCGACGGTTTTCGCGCCCAGCGGACGGCGGGGGAAACCAGGGAAACCCCACGCACGGCGCATGCACCGGTCGCGCAATTGGCGAGGAAGGGGAGGAGAGGAATGGAGGGGTTCCCTCAACCGACGGCGCCAGGATCAAGCCTCCCCCTGTTCCTCCCCGCGCACCCTTTCCTACGTCCGGCACAACGCGCGGCGGCTGGCTCCTCGTCGGTGCACTCTCTCGTATTGGAAGGGAGTGTGCACTGATCACACGCGCGGCGCGGTGCTCTCTCTCTCTCTCTCTCTGTCTCTCTTTCTCTGCCACCCTTCTCCTCCCGCCGGCTCGCCCGCCCGTTTCTCTCCCCCATCCTTCTCCGTCATCTCTCTCTCTTTCTCTATCTCTCTTTATCCTACCGAACTCGATGTGTTTGTTTGTTTATAGTCGCATTCTGGGAAATACCCGATACGCGAGTAACGGAGCCTCATACACGCGCCGCGCCGCGCGCGGCCGCTTGCATTCCCATTCTGGAATTGCATCCGGTCGGTTCTCGGATTCCTCCGAGACTTCGGAAAACGGCCGGTTGGCGGTATATACGGGCGGCTCCGAACTCCAAACTCCCGGGACGAGATCACGGATGCTCTTCCCGCCCTTTTTCGGTCTCTCAGTTAGGTATCTGGGTGATCCCGATGCGCCTTTCAACTTTTCCGCGCTAACGGAAAGAGCTTTTGAATAATCGTCGAAACGACAATCTGTAATCAAGCAGGTACACAATGAGGAAATGCGTCTGAGCTAAAAATAGAAACGAAACCGAAAACAGCAGGAAAGACCTGTCCTCTCACAATATTCTAAACTTTCACGATCACATCCTGTGTTGCCTATAATTCTTAAATTCTTTCAATACTATGCACTGAGAGGAAAGTTTCAAATATTTGTGACTATAATCGTATAGTAAAATAACAATAGTTAAAAACTTCATTTTTATAATTATACGATATAACGTGATAATAATATGATATTTATAGCTATATAATCAACTAAACAATATTCAATGCAAAAAAAAAAATGAAAAAAACATTCGATCAAAGCAGGTTCTGGTACCTAATAATTTAATTTTCTCATTAGCATAGATAAAAAATTACGAATCAGATATATACATATTGCATAAATTCATATAAAAATATTTGAGCACCAAGATCCGCTTTGACAAAATTTATTTCTCTTATATTTGATTAATTCTCATATAAATTCATATCATAATTGTGCCTAATAATATATTTTTGTGGGAATTTTGCAACTTGAATATTTACAAATACCAAAAACTGTTCTCTCAGGGTGAAGTCCAGTTACTTCGCAGAGATCTCCACTTATAATTTATTAATATAGACAGAGTGATTGGGCGCGATCGTCGATCATCGTCGATGCGGTGGCCGCGCGCGTTCCCTTCCGTAAATCTTCCTGACGCGCCGATAGATAATCTTCTAGTGTGGTCGACAAGCGGCGCGTACGAGATCGATAGCGGAGAAACACGCCGCGGCTTATCGGCCAGCGTTTCTGAAAAGTAGTCCACCTGTAATCTCAGGAATGTACTACGTCAGCGACAATCCGCAGTATACATACGCACGCGCGCGCATATGTCTGTCTGCAGATCGCACGACAAATATTGTACAATGATGTTGCGTAATGACGCGTAATGGCGACGCCGCGTGACCCATACGAGTACGTAGCGGAGCCCACATGACGCGATGATAACGTTAAAGATGACGGTTAATTAGAAGCCACGATGAGAGCCCGAAAAAACACAGGGGAAGCCCTGCGGAAGGTACACTTTGCGAAGAAAATCTCCCGGTGCTTGCACGGAAACATTTCTCTTTGTATTTCCCAATTTTTACGAATATTTTTACATATATATATTAGGTGTTGGAATTAATTCGTAGCGTTTTTTAATGAAAGAATGTTATTTATTTCACATGAGCATTAAAAAATACATTAATGAAAGTACTTCCCATCACTTGTAAAACGCTACGAATTAATTCCAACGCCTAATATATACATGCCTGTCTCAAAAGTTTCTGAATTTTTATTTATTAATTATTCGAAATACATTCTATCTGAAGTAATACAGTCTTTATAGTGATTACACAATATTTTTAGAAATTTCTTTAATAAATATCTTCATCGAAAAATCTCTATAAACATCTGTAATGATAAACTTCTTTCGAAACAAGGGAAATGACCTCGAAAAACTGTTTATATGCCACAATTATCGAAATTGTTTTAGAATGTTATCTTTCCAGCTTTATGTTTGACTTTGAAAAAAGAAAATAATTACAGGAAGAAGATAGTAAAGACGGTGAATGGTTTAGAACATCTTTCAAAATTATGTTTATTTTTCTCGATAAATACATTCTCAAAAACGTACTTTTATTTTGACATCACAGTAAATAAATGATATAAACAGAAAAACGTAATAGAATTAGAAATAAATTTTCATAAAGAAAATAATTCCGTGCTGTTTTAATAGCTAGCTTAGTTACCTTTCGCAGAAAATAAATTCGAAAAATTTGAGACAGACTGTGTATGTATATAGAAATGTTAAAATAATACAACTATAATACAACTATATTAAATTAATACAACTATATTAGTTTTTATATATAAAACTATATTATAATTTTATATACTCGTATACATATAATTAGATTTTACAATCACGTAAAATTCTAGTCTGAGCTTCTATGCTTTGTTTTCGTAACGTCACACTCTCGTGCTCCTAAACAAATATGTACAAGTATGAAGGAGATTTTAGATAATGTCAAACAAAACTTTTGAACTGCGCAGCCGATCCATCGGTTTTCCTACGGTCGGGAATACGAGCTGTTCCTCTGTCTGTCTTTTCTATTTTTTATTTAATTTTTAGACCTGCGTGAAAGGCTGCTGGCAGGGGGAACGTCCATGCAACGCGATATATCAAACACCAAACGTTTCCACAGCGAGAAAGACAGAGCAAGTGATGGAATAAGAGAGAGAGAGAGAGAGAGAGAGAGAAAATCTTCGGATGCTGCGACGAGTGCATAACAACGATATATAAACGGCCGGCAATTATTCACCGAATGGTATGATAATGCTTGTGATTCGCGGAAGAGTCAACAACAACGCGGCAGATCCTCTCTTGGACTTTGTCATCTGTGAGGCGCGCTCGTTGCATAAATAAGATATCGACGTGCGAATCCCGCGTGTGTCGGGGCAATACTATTATTAAATGAATAGGTCGGATATTAATAATCGTGAAAAACAATGTCTCTTCGAGAGACTGGCACAGATTAATCGACGGCCGCAACGAGTAACGAATTCAATTTTCTTCGATTGCCATTCATGCGGATGTAAACGCGTATACGCCTCCGTAGGTTCAAAGGGCCCGGAGCCCGTATTCGCTTTCTGACCACTGCCTCGTGATAATGAACGCAAAATATGTACGCCATGTGTCTGGGGTCCGTGAAATCATTTAAGACCGGAAATGATGACAAAGGAACAGAAAAAAAAGAAAATTATTGGGAAAGTTCTTCTTATCTAATGCTTTTGAGATAGTCCGTTCTTGGGAGGTCTTTCCTCTTGGAAGTACAGGTAAGATTGTGCGCACCGAGCAGGCAAAAGTTCTAAAAATAATTTTACTGTTTTTATTATGGAGTTGGCAAGCCAAGGAAATCAATGCTGACAAGGTCCGCCAGCGGCGATATCAAGATGTTTTGAAAACAAGAATACGATAAAATATGCTCTGCAAATAACACCATCATGATCTCATTCTCTCTTTCTCTCTCCCTTTTCCCTCTCTGCATTATAAAAAGATTTCATGTTTGGGAAAATATTATTGATGATGTAATAATATTTTCCCCCACGTCGCCGTCGAATTCAAAATATTTTTACGTCGAGGGTGAAATTCCCACGTGCGTGGCGTCAACAGCTTAATACACTTGACTACTTTCTTGGGAGGTTTCCGCAAAATTTGTCGAGCAGTCATCGAACTTCACGCTACCGTCATCGTCATATACTTTGCTGCGTCGCGTCGTCGCAGGCAAGGAACAATCGTACGTTGTTGTCCGTGGTCGAGATGCGAGAATGTCTTTCTTTCTCTCTCTCTTTCTCTTTCTCTCTCTCCGCACAAATTGGCGCGCGAAAATACACTTTTGCGAAATCAGCAACGGCTGTTCTGGTATGTCAATGGACAGAAATCCTTGTTCCCCTTCGGACGATCCCCCGCGATCACCGTCACATCCCATCCCTTCCCCGCCACCCTTTCT